CAAACATGTTAATATAAAATGTCAAAAAGAAAATGAAATGTCAAGATTGTCAACATAGAATGTTAAGTTTCTTATCACTATCACTAAATTTTGTTAAAATTGGGAGCAAAATTTAAACACAACTAACAGAGAAACAACCAAACAAAAAAAATTAAAAGAAAAATAATCAAAATACAAAAATGAAAAAGAAAAAACCAACCCAAAATTAATGTCTAATGAAGATGCATTTTTTCATAGAAAAAAAAGGATGAATGCAATTAGTTAGAAGCATTTCTTACTTCTACGATGCAGTCTCATTTATAAAGCATTTGGAAGCTAATTAAAAATCAAAACCATATACGGCGGAGCAAGGCACAACGGCAGCTGAGATTCAAATGGTGCAGTTTGAAGCGGCTGATGGTGGCAGTGACGGAGATTAAAGGGACATCGACATCAATGACGGTAGAGGCATTGTGTCAGCCGTGGTAGAGGCGCGATATCAGCGACAGTAGGGGCGTGGCAGCGGGTGGGGTGTCGGCGTTGCCGACGGCAGCATGGCACAATTGAGCAGCCATTGATGGAAATTTTGTACGGTTGAGCAGCATTGGCATGACACAATTGAGCACGGCATGACACAATTGAGCATGGCATGATAAATTGAGTGGAGAAGAGGGTACTCCTATTTTGGGGGTTTTATCTTTTAACTTTTATTTTGAGATTTAATCAATGTGGTACTCCTATTTTGCTCCTTAACCCGAACTTTAATCATCAATTATTCTTAATTTGTATTGCATATTGATACAATAATTTAAATATTTAATAGTTTTCAATAAGATAAATCTATTGAAATAATTTTTATACTAAAATAAATACTCCGTAGCACTTTTATTTAATTGAAGTTTAAAGTTCGTTCAATTTAACTCAAAAGATTCAAGGGAAAAAGACCAAAGTATGGCTAAAATATTAAAAATATATCAAAATAGGACTTCCATGTTTTTATTTCCCAAATAGAACTTACATTACCACACATTGTCATGTACATTACCAAAAAAGTATAGTAATGTATACAAGTAAAGTGTCACATTACCACAGTGTAAAGTCCTATTTCGGAAAAAAATATAAAAGTTCTATTTCAGTACTTTTCTATATGTTTTAGTCTTATTTAGGGTGATTTCTAAATATTCAAATTGAACGACTAAGCTGAGAGGAGGTAGTATTTAATCCTCAATAAAGTGAGTATTGGTAGTATTACAATGTTAGTAATAATGAAGTGAGTGCCTGATTCTTACTTCATCAAACCAATCAGACTCTTTTTTATTTTCATACTTTAATACAATATTCCGTAAAATACTATTTCAATTTTTTTTGTTTTTTAGATATAATTGCATTCTCTCAATATGAATATTTAATACTCAATAAATTACTTACCTAAGGAAGAGGAATCAAAACCAAAATCTTTGAGTGTGCCTCTCAACTCTCAAGTGATTGAGTTTAGACCAAGATCTAACACATAATCATCAATTATTTTGCGGGTATAAGGTGATTTTAATTTTTGTTTACCCGCTCGAATTCATACTCGCTCATTATATTTTATTTGAATAAAAGATCGGGTATAGTGTTAATCGTTCCTATTCGTTAAAGACCGCACTAATTTAATTTTGATGTTTTGAGATATCACTCGAATTCTTTTATATATCATTTCCCTTTAATTTTATATTGTGCCAAAAACGAATGTGTATATCTTGTTTTAAATATTATGGAGTATTCATTAACGTATAATGAACGAATTCCGGTGGGAAACATCAAACAACCCATGTTTGTAACAATTATCTATAATCTTTTATAATTTTTTTATTCGAAGGATGTAACAATTTTCTAGGAAGCACGACTATTGTTTTTTATAACTATCTCCGTCCCTGAGTATTTGTCGGACTTTTTCAGTTAACTATTTTTAACATTTGATCTATAATTAATAAAACACATATTGTATATTAATTAGATAAAATGATATTTTTTAAAAAAATTATATAATAAAATTCTAATAAACCATTTTTGTATCAATGTCTAATATCATTTTGTATTTAATTTAAAGTCAAAATTTACTAATTTTGACTGAAAAAAACTAAAAAAGAACAAATACTGAGAAACAGATCGAAAATTTAATTTGGATAAATTCCCTTTTGTTGTGTATGTAGTTATTTTATCGATTACGTAGTATATGTCCAAATAGCATAACTTTTGTAAGGGTATACCACACCTAATAGCAAGATTCAACGGGCCCAAATCTTAGTACTCTATATAATATCAAGACCTCTGTGAGTATGATTTAGTAGCGATTTTTAAATGTGTATCAATATGAAACGTCGTGGTTTGACTCGAACCCGACCAATTGAAATGCATGTGCTTGACACCGGTTATGTTTTATTAGATATTTCTGTTGTAATTCGTATATTTAATATACTCAACAAAAAATACTTTTAAATATTAGACAAAACAAACAATATAATTTGGACCGACGCCCAACAAATTCAAAATTGTTAAGGTAGAATTCAAGAGAAATGTTGAAAAATAAAAAGTGGGTAGATATAATTTGTTTAAAGAAAAAGATTTGTAAGCCAATTGTTCATTGTTATTTAAGGCGGATTTAATAGTGTTCAGATTTTATCAAGACATTTAAAAAAATAAATTACAAGACACTTTAAAACAGAAAGAATACATTTTTTCAAAACATAATTGTATCTCACAATTAACATTTACTCTGTAACATTTTATACTAATAACTAATGCTATCCTTGCAAAAATGCTATTTCAATTTAAAATACAAAGAAACTTAACCTAGAGTTGTCTACTCAATTCTGTAGATTAACAACCTAAGTGCTTTTTTGAGCGATTTCTTTTTTGAATTGGGAGCTTTGAACCTCATCAATTTAATGATGGGGGGCACACTCCAATATACACCCTAGTTTTATCAATAAATTCTAACCAAAATTTAAAATTGAAATTTTTATTTTGATAAAAGTTAGCCATTGGTATGAATAGCTAATATACTCCCTATTACGAGTATTTGTTTAGAGAAATTGCTTTGGTAATTAAACATAACAAATCTAAACATCTCTCACAATGATCGAACGTAACAGTCCAGTTCGATCGGTTTTTTTGTCTATACCTAAACGTGAACAACCATATCCACCGGCCACAATTTTAAATTATTCTGTCCCAAATTAAATTGTCTCTTTAAAATTAGATTTTATTCTCTCTTTTTATGTCATTACTAGCTTGGTAAATATTTTGATGTAGTTTTTAAATATATAATTTTTTTTAAATTTTACACCGTTTTCATATAAAAAGATTTGAAGAATAACATCCGTCAAACATCGTAAACTGAAACTGACAATTTAAATTGGAACGGAGGGAGTTTAATTTTTTTATACAAGATAAAATTTCTTCATTAACTTATTTAAATAATTAGTATAATAATAATTAATAAATTGACATATTAAAAGATTACGTTGAAAATTGTACCAAAAAAGATGTGATAGGAATGATTTTTATTTTATCAAATAATTATTGAAAATATATAAACAAGAAGAATATTTTATTTTATAAAATAATCAATGAAAAATCACCAATTTTTCATCCAAAATTGAAAGTCAAAAATTCCAATTTCAATTGAAAAACTAGATTTTGTACCCGTGCTATCTGCTATGCACGAACAAAAATAATTATCATAATCTTTATATATTGAATTTGAGAATTAAACTTCCAGAATTACGATAAGTGACAAATCTACATTACAATATTTTAACAAATCACCTGCCACCTATTAACGATTGACTTTGGAGTGAAAATGACTTCAAAAACAAAATTAACTTGTGGAGTATAATTGAAGGAGATGTGTGGCGTGTTCGGGCAGAATGGGGGGTTTACCAGGAAGTTATGGAGAACAGTTTTATGAATGGAGCACCGAAGTACTCTTGAGCCATCAACTGTACTATAATTTATATCTTAAAATACTATACCGTTTGAGTCCAAAAAACAATAATTCAAATGTATGGTCATCTTCAACTAGGATGCTAATTTACATTTGTGTTACCAAAGCGAAATGATAAACACTCATATTTAATTTAAACATTTTTTAAATTTACAAAAAAAATTCATGTAACATACCAGATAGAATCTAGTGTAAAAAAAGAGCAATGCTACGTTCACAAACAAGATACTCACAAATTTCACAAATTTACTGTTTATTGTTTAAATTTTCATTTTAAATTTATTTTAGACTATTTAATTTTATTTATTGAAGTTCACAAATAGTAAGTTTGTGAAGTTTGTGAACATTTTGTTTGTGAACCAAACATTTTTCTTTCTTTTTTGAATTGTGGATGGGGGACTTTGGGGCTCATCAATTTAATGACGGGGGCACACTCCAATATACAACCTAGTTTTATCAATAAATTCTAACCAAAATTTAAAATTGAAATTTTATATTTTTCATTTTGATAAAAGTTAACGAAAATGAATAGCTAATTAAACATAACAAATCTAAACACCTCATGACAACTTAATTAATGATTAACAAATTAAATTTCCTTCAAAGAAGTTTTATTGCATTAATTCTAATTGATGACATGGCAAATAGTAAGTTTGTGAAGTTTGTGAACATTTTGTTTGTGAACCAAACATTTTTCTTTCTTTTTTGAATTGTGGATGGGGGACTTTGGGGCTCATCAATTTAATGACGGGGGCACACTCCAATATACAACCTAGTTTTATCAATAAATTCTAACCAAAATTTAAAATTGAAATTTTATATTTTTCATTTTGATAAAAGTTAACGAAAATGAATAGCTAATTAAACATAACAAATCTAAACACCTCATGACAACTTAATTAATGATTAACAAATTAAATTTCCTTCAAAGAAGTTTTATTGCATTAATTCTAATTGATGACATGGCAAATAGTAATTGAATTCTAATTAGATGAAAACTGGTGTACTTTTTTATACTCCCTAAAGCGTAAAATTCAACCCTTTTTTTTTGAAATAAAAAAATCAACACTAATTAGCTAGGGAGTAAAAAAAATTAAACAAAAAAAATCCTCTATAAACAATTTTTAAAAGCAGTGTTTGCCGCCGGCGCTGAAAAGGACAGAACCAGTTCCCCCACAACTTCCGGCAGGCCGCCGATCATCAAAATCAAAGAACTGTGCATATTGCTCTGCACATAGGGCAACTCCGATTTTGGCTCAGCCAAGTCACAATACACCCCGCGTGGAAGCTGTGAGAGCACGGAGAAAGCTGTGTGATCACCTCGCCGGCGAAGAAATCGTCCAAGCAGACGGAGCAAGTGCCGCCTCCGCCGCCGCTTTGGGTCACTTTTTTCAACTGTGAAATCTCCGCCGCCGTCATACCCCTGTTCGAGCCCACGAAATTGGGAATTTCCACAGAATCATACTCCTCCTCCTCCTCCTCGTAGGGCGGCAGAGCATCGAAAACCAGAGAATCGCCGTCCATGAAACCGGCCTCCGCAAATTCCGCCGACATTCTCAAATCCGGCCCAACGAAATTGGCAATTCCCTCGACATGATCAAAATTCTCTAGGTATCGCAGAGGAGGATCGAGAACCATAGCACCGCCGTAAACAAATCCGGCGGCCTCAAATTCAGCCTCCTCCTGGGATGGCGGCGGCAGTGAATCGAGAACCAGAGAACCGCCGTCCAAGATTCCGGGCGAGTCAAAGACAACCTCAAATTCGGCACAGATCTGTACCCCGCGAGTCCGTCCCTCGCTCAGAAACACCCGAAAAGCGTCCACGGCCATGGGGAAAGTGATGGGCGCGGTTGATGCCGGATCCCTGCGGAGGTACCCGGCGACAACGCCGGAGAAGAAGAGACAGGCGTTTCTTGCCGAACCCAAATCACGCAGGGGGTAGAAGAGTATGGGCTGGGCGGTGCAATTGTCACTGACGACAATGGACTGGCCGGCGGTTGAGAGCTTATAGATCACTCGGAGTTGGAGAGTTCCGATTCTTGCCTGATCGGGATTGAGAGATACGCTGTGAGAAACCATTCTTGCTCTTCCTGCCATTTTTTTCTGCGCGAGAAAGAGAAACAGAGAAGGGGAAAGTGATGAATGAATGAATGCCAAAATTGGGATGGAACTGATATATAAGGACAGGATAAGGGATTAGGGATCCCGCGGCGGCGAGGGAGAGGTTTCATTATTATTCCTAAATCTTTCCCTAAATCTTTCTTTCTTTCCTAAATCTCTCCATCAACGTTCTGATTTTGACTCAAACCCTTGACTCAATTTTAATCATTCCGGATTCAAAAAAAAACCCCACATTCAATTTTTTTTTTTCATATTTCAATACAAGGCTCCGTAAAATATAATCTCCCCGTTCAAAAATTATTTCTCGTTGTGTGTTATAATATTTAACTCAAGTTATTTTCAAATTATTTTATATGAAAAATGTAAAATTAAAAAATAAAAATTAGAAGTGACAAGACTATATTATTTTATCAAATGGATGATGAAAATAGGCTAATAAAGTGAATAAAAATTCGGCCAGGTGAATAGTAAATGAGAAAATAATTTTGGACGGAGAGAGTAATTTTGAATTTTTTGTAAGAGAAATATTATTAAACTCTTTGTATTATTTCTCTGGTCCTAAAAACATTTCCTTTAATTTTTTGGTCAAAAAACGACATATTTTGCTCATAAAGTGTGAGAAAAATATATTTAATAAAATTCAATATAATTGGGTTCATATTAACATATTGTTTTGATATATCAAATTATATATTAAATTTATGATAAAAAAGTGTCATTATTTGATAATAAAAAATCAAAACAAGAAGGATGTTTAAGATAGGAGGGAGTAATATTTAATATGGAGTACAAATAGAGTATAAATTTCGGGGTACATGTAGTATGACGAGTTAACTGATCGAATTAAAAGTAGTAAAATTTGTACTAAATAAAATTAAAATATTTGTCTTTCCCATATGTAGTACCACAAACTTTTTATTTCCAAAAACTTTTGTTATGCATGATATCTTTTCATTTGGTATTTATTTTTATAATTAAATAACCAATTGACTTACAAATCATGAAAACTAGATTGATAATATCCTCATGTTTAAAAAAAAATTCATGTTTGACTTTTTTGAATCAAAATAGATGAATTTTAATAATTAAGTATATTCAAATTGTATAATATATTAACAGAATAAAATAAACTTTTAAAAACTTTGTGTCGAGATATACGATTCAATTTTTATTATATGATAATAACATAAATTAAAATATTTTTATTGACTAAAAATATCTAATTTACATTATAAAATATTATTCCCTCTGTCCACCATAGATCTTCTCAGACACTATTCACAGGGTCAAACTTTACCCACTTTGTTTGCTCAATTTTACTAGTCATTTCATAAAATAATATAGTCTTATCACCTCTAGTTTTGTAGAACTTTTCATGTAGTTTATTAGTATATAAATTTTATTTTAAAATTTTACTCCTATAATCAATTAAATTGAATTGAAAGTAAAGTCGGTCAAGCCTCGTAATGCGTAACGGGAAGATCATACATGGACGGAGGGAGTATTATTATAAACATACTTGACCGGGTCGTTGACCCCGAGTTTGACCGGTTCGACCGGTCAACCCTTGACCCACTACCTCGTCCAGGTCAACGNTAGTCATTTCATAAAATAATATAGTCTTATCACCTCTAGTTTTGTAGAACTTTTCATGTAGTTTATTAGTATATAAATTTTATTTTAAAATTTTACTCCTATAATCAATTAAATTGAATTGAAAGTAAAGTCGGTCAAGCCTCGTAATGCGTAACGGGAAGATCATACATGGACGGAGGGAGTATTATTATAAACATACTTGACCGGGTCGTTGACCCCGAGTTTGACCGGTTCGACCGGTCAACCCTTGACCCACTACCTCGTCCAGGTCAACGTCCGGTCCGGTTTTCAAAACATTGCTGAGGACATGTCCGCTTCATCTTCAGCCAAGTCGCGATACATGCGGCGTGGAACCTGAGAGAGCACGGCTGCAGCAGCCGATTAGAACTAAAATCGATAAATTCAAAACTATGTTTACCTTTAAATAAGCATATTATATTTTTAAATTTTTACATTTATTTTATCATTTGAACTAGTTACATTTCTTGCTCATTCTCTTATAAAATAGATTATCTTTTTGAAAAAAAGTACAAATTTGTATGCCTTAAATTTATTATATGTAGAAATTAAAGATAAGTTATACATATAAATGATAACGCACAAACAAATAAAATTTTCGTAATTTTTAAATAGTGAAGTGTGATATTCTTTTTGGGACAAAAGGAATATATATGATGAATTGTATGGAATAATTAGATTTTATCCTAATTTCATCTCATTACAATAAATTTTATTGATTTGAGAGTTAATTTGATTAGTTTCAAACCAATTCACTCAATATTAGTCAATAAAATTAGATGCTAGTGTTAGCATTTTGAAAAGACTTTCTAGCGGCAGCCTTTATTGTTATCATTTTCAAATTTGATCTACACCATTACATTTAGGTGTAAAATGAATTATATTTGACTCTATTAAATTTAATTTTCTCTATTTTCAACCAAATATACTCAATAATTTACAAATTTTGCACTCAATTGAATAAAATTCACTTAATTTTACCCAATTTTACTCAATTTTTACCTAATTCTATTCAAATGGAACATAAGACTATTTGAATTTATATTTTATCCTTTCATTTATATACATAAGTATATTAGTAGACGTGAGAAAAATTTTATATTTCAAAACTATATTTTAAAATCAATTTAATTATATTAAATTTATATCATAATTAAATATATATGTTTTCATAATTTGTAGTCCAAATTTGTAAAATATGACTAAAAAGTCAAAAGGGGAAGATTAGAAAATAATATATATCCAAAATATATTTGATCCGAAACCGAAATATATCCGAACCGAACTAGACCTGAAACCGAAATATATCCGACTCAAATTGTATCCGAACCGAAATCTATCCAAACCGATTTATAACCGAACCGTATCTGAACCGACTCGAAACCGAACCGAAAAATGTATAGAATCGAAATCAAATCCAAACCGAAATTTAACCGATCCGAACCGATTATAACATATAACCGAAAGATATCCGAACCAAAAAAATCCAACCCGAAACCGATCCGGTTGATCCGATTGCCACCTCTACCCGTGACTATACGGATCATTCTTAGTCTTGCAGTGTCGCGTGGGTGGCCAACTCATCAACTCAACGTCAAAAATGCCTTTCTACATGGTGAGCTCACTGAGACGGTCTACACGGCACAACCATCTGGGTTCCAGGATCCGTTTCGCCCCCATTATGTCTGCAAACTGAACAAGGCGCTCTATGGACTGAAGCAAGCGCCTAGGTCTTGGTACCAGCGGTTCACCACCTTCTTACTCTCTCTTGGGTTCCGAGGCTGCAAGAGCGACACCTCCTTGTTCATGTTTAGCCAGGGGGCTCAGATGGCATTTCTCCCACTATATGTGGATGACATCCTTCTCACTGCTTCCTCACAGGGCCTTCTTCAGACGATCATCCAGCAGTTGAAGGGTGAGTTTGCCATGACTGACATGGGGGATCTTCACTTCTTTCTCGGCATTAATGTTCAGCGCACCACCCGTGGTCTGTTTCTCACACAGACATAGTTCCTGTACGACATATTAGATCGGGCAGGTATGCTCTCATGCAAACCAGTGTCCACCCCGGTTGATACACGGGGAAAGATGTCGGCCTCCGGCGGCTCCCCAGCCGCAGACCCCTCACTCACTACTACAGAATATATATTACACAGCGGATAAATATGGCTTTTTCCATCGGAAAACAGCCGCTGTCCATGCAACCGATGGGAAAGATCTCTTGTTTACGCAGCGCTTATTTTTCCAATGTGTAAACTTTATACAGCGCATATATTATCCGATGTGTAAAGTTTACACATCGCATAATTTATGCGCTGTATAAAGTTTATACATCAGAAAAATATGCGCTGTGTAAAGATGAGAGCTTTCCCATCGGTTGTATAGACAATGAATATTTTTCACATTAGACAGCAGATAAATAGTCGTTGTGTAAACTTTATATAGCGGAAAAAAATTCAATGTGTAAGCATAAACAACTTTTCAATAGGAGAAATTATATTTAATTACCCAATACATAAAATTGCAATATATATAACGAAACAAGTTTTATTAAAAAAGATAAAACAAAATACATGAGGGGAGGACCAAACCAAAGCCTCTCCATAAATGGTGAGAACATAAATTTACCAAGAAACTAATAATTGCTAAAATAGAAGTCGAGCCAAAATATATAATAGGTTTCCCACTGTTGCAAAGTGAACTTTAACATAGTTTATTTTCACTCTTATCTCAATTGCTCCGTAACATACTGATCGATCAGAAGCACATGAAGCTCTTATATCCAAAGCATACTACAAACTTTAAAATAAACCTCTCTTCACCAAGAAAACCTACAAATTAAGAAATTGAATCAATGTTAATATCAAATATCACTTCTTTAGCAACCCCTAGAAGTGAAGTAGTGATTACTACATCACGTCATCAAAACTATCTACTCCACAGTGCACATATATATGGGTGAAAAACTTGGCAGAAAGAAAAGGTATTTCAAAACTACAGAAAATAACCAGTACAAGGACCAACAACAATAGGCAATTGTATGGTGTAAACTCCATAACAAATTGAAGCCCAATTTCGTTAAAGTTCAAGAAATTGGCTAAGAGCTTACAAAAATTTTGAGAAACATCATCATTTACGATGATCACAGCCCAACAGAACTGAAAGACACAAAAACATCAATGACAACTTAAGGGATCTCCCATGGATGCATAGCCTACATGTTTACTTTATAAGGAATAAGTTTTCGACTATAAAGATGTAAAAGTCTTACTCTAGTTAAAAATGGGTAGCATCAAATTAAGTACAGGCTACAGCTCATAGGTTTTGTAAATCTGACTAATTACAACCTGGATATAGTTAGCCTTGAGAGCATGATACACATATGTGGAAAAGTCCAGAAACAGATTTTGAACGCCTGCCAGCTATCTGTAGAGCTAGAGATTTGTTCTCAAATAAAGTGAAATTAAGTTGATAAAGGACATAAATCTAGGGTCTCCCATGCAAACAAAAAACACACAAGCCCATGCAAACAAAAAACAACTAGTACAACTGAAAAATGTAGGGTCTCAGGGGGTGAGTGTACACAAACCTTACACGTCCTATTTTTAAATACTCAAACAGGTCTATTGAGCCCAAAGAACATTTAGTGACCAAGAATTATATTGAGTATGAAATAAATAAGAATTATATTTAATTAGATGATTGCATGTAAACCACTAATATTCATAAAAACAACTTATTTGGATAAACAGAGTGCATTCAAGATTGTTTTTCATACCTCATAAGACTCATCCACTTCAATCAAATTTCTTGGCCATGCTATATAATTATCAATGGATGATACTAGCATTTTAAGTTCATCGGTCACATATGGTACCACTGAGTTTTCCTCCCCTGATATTATCCGCTTTACAGATACTCTTGCTTGTGCACCATTTAAATGTTTGCCATGGAACAGTACACCTTGCCCATAAACACTTCCATGTGCCACTAGGCGCCGGGTAGGATGATCCAAGTATAGCCTGGAACGTAATCCTAACTGAATAGTTGGGATTCAAATTTCATTAATTCCACTCAAATATTTAGTGCAACAATATGAAAACAAACAATAATAAAATTTAAAAGTTACCGGCGATATGTTCTCAAACTGAATGGTTGATGTAGTGCTTGACTGTCTTGGAATTTGAACACTATCAACCGTCATCGTTTTCTCACGTTGATCATCCACATTTGGAGTTCCATTCATTTGTCTCATCAACTTCTGTAAAAATTCATCTCTGGCCTTTAGCTCTGCTCTCATTTCATCCCTAACACGATCAATCTCTATTTTATTCTGTTGTCGCTCTATTTCCCTCTCTTGTTCCATATGCTTCATTTTGATATTTAGTTCCTCGATTGTTTTTAAAGACATTGTGTTATCAGGACATTTAGTGCTTGCTAAATATTTTTTCCATCCAACATTCCCTTCCTCACCCCTAACCCGACCAGGGTGCTCTTTATTAGGTAGTGCAGATGCCAATATATCCACTCGACCATCAATTACGAACTCTCCTCGAGCATAGTCATCTCACATCTGCATATTGTGACTACAAAAATGTGTGCTAAGTAAATACGACCTTGAATATTTTTTTCATAAAAAGTCCTAACAAGTAATTTCTGCACAAGTTCAAATTTATAGATCAGAAAATGACTTACAATCGTCATGGCAATTTTGGACGTCTCCTCTGACAAATAAGCACCCTTCTCATCCTGTCGCGCTCTCATCCACACCTCGTGGCGAGCTGGTGAAGGAGGGTTGACTACACATCCTGAATTGCTTAACTCTACCGGCATCTGTGATAGCTTCTCTTTCTGAATCTTTTTCTTCACCTTTCTATACCCTCCACATCCTGCTCGATGTGGGTTCTTGTTTTTTGATGCATTTTCTTTATTTTTTCTGCTTAATGCCTAAACACATTTTTTACTTAGTCATCAAGCATTAAAACATAATCATCAACATATAAATACTACGAATGTAACTGATATTTTAGAACCTGACAGTCTTGTTTTTTACGTTTAGTGATAAATTCATCCTACATGTGCAAAGTGATCTCTTTATAATCATCACCAGGGAACTTCCCATATTTTTTACCTTTTGGATTCAGGTATGTCCTAACAAGCTCAGCTCTAAAATTTTGCGCCTTCTCTGATATATCCTGTAGAGTCCTTCCCCTTGCTACTGTACTTGGATTTTTAATATTAAACTCTTTCTAAAACATACAAGAAAATATATATCTATTAATTTATTACTTCAATAAGATAATATATGTGTGTCAGAAGTGAAATAATAATAATGCCAGGATATACTGCCACATCAACTCTCTTCTTGGTTGAGGATATTCTTTCCAACTTTCTAAAGTGATTTCCACTCTTGTCTTAGCTAGCATTCCCAGAAAACTCTTAAAAGAATCCATGTCTTCCTCTTTCCCTGTTGGTCGTCCATAAACATCAAAGTGTATTAGAGTAGGTGGTTGATGACCACTATCTATCTTTCGTTGAAATGAGATCATATATGTAGGGCCCCTTTCATGTATTCAGCACTGGTCCGAACAGCAGTTATCCAACTCTTATCGATGACAATTTAGCTATATGTAAGCCATACAACACTTTTAAAACTTAGTATAAGAAGAACTAATAAAAATACAATCACATTAATCATCAAAATCAATCATTTTCTCCATCTCTGTGAAAGCATCTTCTCTAGATAATAATTACAATCAATCATCATCATGTTATCAAACTAATACTAAGGTAAAAGGCTAGAAACAAATACGGAGTAATTAGTAAATAAATTTTAGGTCTGAAATTTGTAAAAGGCAGTAATTGATATGAAAATATCAAAATATTTTCTCTTATCTTTCTCTTCATATATGTGATCAAAATGACGTTTCAAAAAAAATTGCTTGATTTAACTTTTATAGAGTTTGATAGGTCAGGCATGGTATAAGACTTTCAATCATGAGATGAATTGCTTTTCAAAAAAAATTGTTTTTTATTTAAGTTATAGAATATTGTTTGCCAATATCTCATTTTATTTTATTTTTTGGTAATTACTCATGGTGGAAACTACCATTGCTTCTTTTATTTCTCTTTTTGCTTGGCACATTGTGCAGCAATATAGGCAGACTCTTATACTCTTTCAGGTGAAGGGGAATATGGCAGATTATATATAAGAACATTAAAATACCAGTCAGAGTTGTTGAGCCAAAACATATTTAAGCATTGAAAATGGGAAATAAATGCAGGGTCATGGGTCTTCAAATATGACAATAGTATATCTTTTTCTGGTATTTTACGAAACCAGCTTCAAGGAAGAGGCCATGTCAAAGAGACGTACGTTAACTCACTTTTACCTGACCCGTTACAGGAGAGAGTACGGGGGTAAGCTAATGTTTACCTGATTGCATAAAACTAAATTTTCGAGTAGCTTTTCCAATTACTCAGTACTCAGTATATTTTCCATGAAGTCAGTACTCAGTCCCAAAATTGATGAACTCAGTACCCAATATATTTTCCAACTCAACTCATATTTCCAGTTAATTTTCGAACTAGAATTAGAACTGAATATTTGCAACTAATTTTCCAGTAAATTGAACTCAGTAATTCTTAGACAATTAAAGTTTTGATGAACTGCAAATAGATGATGATATACCTCGAACTAGAATCAAAATTGGGTGATTCCTAAAACCTAATTCGCAGAAACACTAATTAAAACACCAATTGGTAGAAATTAAAATATTTGGAAAAGAAATCAAACCTCTATAGATCGAGCAGGCGACTGAAAGCTGAGACTAGGGTTCTTCATAGTCGATCGATTAGCAGAGAAATTGGTTGCAATCGATTTGGGCGCAAAGAATGCCGCTGAAGGGTAGAGATGAGAGACGCTTGTTATATTGATTTGGTATTTTTACATCTAGTGAACAGTGATATAGCAAGCACTTTTTTGTTTCATTCCCCAACCATAGTTTGCTATTTTATTCTTTAAGTATTGACTTGTTAAAGTTTAAGGAGCTTGTTATATTTAGCAAGCTAAAGTCATTTTTTGGCAAACTAGCTAAAATAAAGCATACCCTTTGGAGAAGAATAAAAGTCTATAGCTAGCTATATTATAACTTTTAGCAAGCTAAAATACTATGGTTGGAGATGCTCTAAGAGTTAAAAAAAATTAGATACGCGCCTTGATAGATGGAACGGCGCTCGTCCTCTATCCCTAAACTTTACACAGCCCTTTGAAGTAGTTCGCTGCGTAAAGTGCGATGTATAATGTGTATTCTGTAGTAGTGACTATACCGGTCTATTGTTGGGGCACTTCAGTACCTGACTTTTACTCGTCCAGATATTACTTATGCAGTACAGCAGCTTTGCCTCTTCCTCCATGCCCCATGCACGTCCCACGTCACTGCCATGAAGCGGGTCCTCCAGTATCTCTGTGGCACACCTTCACACGGCATCTCCATCACTCCGTCACCAACGGATCACATGCGCGCCTACTCAGATGCTGATTGGGCTGGCTGCCCAGACACTCGTCGCTCCACATCCGGATATTGCATCTTCCTTGGTGACAACCTCATCTCATGGTCCTCCAAGTGCCAACTCACCACGTCCAGATCTAGTGCCGAGGCCGAATATAGAGCCGTAGCAAATGTCGTGGCCGAAGTCAGTTGAATCCGGAATCTTCTCCTCGAGCTTCAGCAGCCCCTCACTCGATCCACACTTGTGTTCTGCGACAACATCAGTGCGGTCTACCTTTCTGCAAATCCAGTCAAGCATCAGCGCACGAAGCATATCGAGGTTGATATTCATTTTGTTCGTGACAAAGTAGCTCTTGGACAGGTCCACGTAATTCATGTCCCTTCGTCACTCCATTATGCAGACATCTTCACAAGAGGACTCCCTTCCATCATCTTCTCCGAGTTTCGGGATTGCTTGGGAGTTCGGCCTTCGTTACCAGCGCTGTTGGGAGCATGTTAAATATATTATTTCTATATTTAATATTGTCATTATTGTAGTTGCCTTAAGTGTATAGATTACCTTATATGTTTCCTACCCTAACTAGGAAACTCTCTTGTATATATACACATGTATTCTCCCCTTTGTAATTATTGGAAAATATTCATTCTTCAGTTTATAGGAAGATTAATAGTATATGAGAAAATGTAATAATTTAAATAAATACGAAAGAGTAAAAGAATGATATGACTTTACACTTAGAGGCGTGTGATGAGGCTTTGATAATTTCAAATGCTTTGGATCTATTTTCATTAAAGAAATGCCGCTTTTTCTAGGGTTATTTTTCAAACCACATCTCATCTTCAAACTTTGTGTGAGCCTTGATTCTACCAGACGTGCCTTGAATAAGCAAATTGGAGATTAGAATATAGAGATTAGACATTTCTTTAGCTTTTGTCTCAATTTCAAGTTCCAAATATTTCACCTTGGCTATTTATCTTCAAATTTTAGTTTATTTTTAATTTTTTTGTTATTTCAAGTGAACAAAGAGGTCCATTGTTAAAGAAATATCATAATAAATTGTGGAGTATTATAGATCAAGTGTGAGGTAATGTTTTCAAAATATAGTTTGCAGTATTTTTAAATTACTTTTTATTCACTCATAGATTTATGCTATTAATGGGGAATAACCCCACGCCAGCACTGGGGCTGACATCAGCATAAATTTCCTAAGTTTCGGGCTTGGACGTTCCCGCCCGGCCCAAAGCTCCGCTCGTCCTTCCTGCCCGGCTCTGCGCTCCGCTCGTCCTTCCTGCCCGGCTCTGCGCTCCGCTCGTCATTCCTGCCCGGCTCTGCGCTCCGCTCGTCATTCCTGCCCGGCTCTGCGCTCTGCTCGTCCTCCCTGCTCGGCCGACCAAGCCGAGCCCGAGCCCCACGACAATGACATGCGGAAAGTGACGTTCAACGGAGACTTGAGGAAAGCGATAGGATGAAAGGGACAAGACGGGCGGAAAACGACGTTCAACGAAGACTTGGTGAAAGCGATAGGATGAAAGGGACAAGACCTAAGGACAGGTGACGTCCGCTAAACGACGGGCCTCGATCAGAGGGCTTTGACTTAGTGTATTTTACCCCCTATAAAAGGGGTGGCACCCCTCATTGTAATGGGACCGAATTTTGAATTCAATATACTCCCACTTTGCGCACACTCTCTCTCTCTAAAACTTTATATTATTTCATACTCTCGGTGGTTTATAGCCATCAAATTGGTGCTCT